TTTTTTTTTTTTTTTTTTTTCCACTGTCAGATGGTGGCTCCACCAGTCAAGTACTTCTAATCATTTGCTTAAACATGGTAATTTTCTTTTAATAAACTGTCCTAATGAAATTTGCATAATAACCGATGCAGCCAAACAATAAGCAACAGGACAAGCCAGGTTGTGAACTCAACAACACAAGCAAGTGATGCTGTCATAGACAGATATGTGGGCATCAATTTCAACATACTCTTGCACTTCATGTGGGGTGTCTCTTCTTGTTTGTTTTATTCCATATTCCTTTCATAGTTTTTAAGTGTACATGCATCAATAAGCTAATGCTAGTCAAGCTTTTTGGGTGGATGAATCGCTCGTCTTCGTTTGCTCACAATAAATTGCTCGATTTAGGTGTTCGTTCTAGCCAATGTGGGAATTCTTGTATGTTTAGATGGCAGGTTTAGTTGATTTTTTGATGCTTCATCTGTAGAAACTGTTTGTAATATTATGGTTAGTTAATTTTTTCCTTGTTTAGGGCTATTGTTTAGTGATGTTGCCCAAAACAGCAAATGTGTTTGGTGGTCTTCTGAAGTGGAACATGAAATTTATGATATTGGGATGCATAAAAGAAAATGTTAAATTATAATAAGAGAATGTGAAATAACCCAATCTCAGAGTTTTCTTAGCTTTCAAACATTCTCAATATTCCATTCACCACATGGAAGCAAAAGCCAAGATTGTCTAGCATTTGATGCTCTAAGCACTTTTATGTCTTCTCTCTTCCCATTTAATTTAACCATTTGTATCTTTCATCTCCTCCTGTCCATATTACCTTCTCAGCCTGCATCTGTTGCATTGTTACACATGCAGAATCCAAAAGATATATTAAAAGAAATACTTATTTCGACGGGCTTTGGAGGCCCGAGATACAATAAACCGAAGGCGAAATCTTCAAATCCTCCTGCCGAGGCTCCCCTGCAACTACCTCCACTTAAAGATGGACAAAAATCACTCAGAAGTTTCATGTCAATGCTGTCCAGCCCATTCAGGAGCCCGAAATCATTCGGGAGCCCATCCGAGGGCCAGAGTATGAAACTGGTTCTCGACGAGTCCCGTAACCCCAAAGATGAGAAATTAGTCGACTCTTTTCGCGAATTGCTCTCTCATGAGGGCCAATTGCCTCAAAAACACCTCGACGATCATACTCTTTTAAGATTCCTCCGTATGCGAAACTTTGACTTTACAAAGGCAAAATACGCATTTTTGCAGCACATCAAGTGGCGGGAGGAATTTCGGGTCGACTCAATCTTGAACGAGTTCAAATACGAAGAACACGAAGACGTCAAAAAATGCTATCCTCATGGATTTCACGGTGTGGATAGACACGGCCGGCCGGTTTACATTGAGCGAATTGGGATGGTCGATCTCGACAAGTTCCTTCATGTAACCACCATTGATAGGTTCGTGAAGCACCATGTGTACGAACAGGAGAAGACCCTGAATTTGAGATACCCTGCGTGCACAGTAGCCGCGAAGAAGCACATAAACTCGACCGTAAGCATCTTGGACGTGAAGGATGTGGGGATGTCAAAGTTTTCGAAACCAGCTAGGTATATATTTATGGAAATTCAAAAAATCGATAGTAGCTATTACCCCGAGACTCTGCATCGCCTTTTCATTATAAATGCCGGGTCTGGGTTTAAGGTGCTCTGGAAGGCCATCCGAGCTTTTCTTGACACACGGACATTAGAAAAGATTCAAGTTTTGGGAACCGACTACCAAAATAGCCTAATCGAGGCTATAGAACCGAGTGAACTGCCGAGTTTCTTGGGTGGTGAATGCACGTGTTCCGAATTCGGGGGTTGCCTTTTCAGCGATAAAGGGCCGTGGAAAGATCCTGAAAATACTAAAACGCTTAAGGGAATGCTTTTTACGGATGAGCATAAAGGTGCATATAATGTAAATTCGGCAGTAGAAGAGCCTTTGTTAGAAAAGATTAAAGCCTTGGAGCCTGTGGTGGAGAATGTGAAAGAAAAAATGAGAATGCTGGAAGTGACACTTGAGGAGACCAAGGTGGTTTTACAAGGACTTGCAAGACAGATACAAGAGCTCAAGAGATGAACAATATTGATAATGATAACATTATGTTATTTCCACATGTATTTTTAGATATTTTCATATGTAATTTTACTCTTTTAACCTCCTTGTTAGTAGCATTAATGGAAGAATTGTCAATAGCATTTTTTACAACTGTAGATGTAAAAGGAATGCACAAATAGCATCTAGGGTTTAATACATAACATAATTTTTCATTAAGATAATACAAGTTTTCTCTCTCGATTTGTCCTCTTTGGTCCTGCAAACTTTGTTCTTCAATTTCTTCAGTATGGTATCGATTGCCAATTCTCGTTGATTCACTGTTTTCGCATTCAAATAAACTCTGAAATTTATATTTTCGATCGTCGATCTCGGTTCGAATCTCTTCGAATCTTTAGCCCTAACCCGAAAATCTGCGACACATCCATGGTTGTCAACCCCTCCGATGATCCGTCCTATGCCTTTTCCTCCACCTCAGCGACAGTCCATGTACGTTGATTGTTGTGGATCCTTTTGCCCGTTATAACTATGTTTCCCGGAGTCGGGCTGTTGTCATGGATCTCAACGTGAATATTAAGTTCGGTTTCATTGATGACACTATTTTCACTCAACGCTTACCGATAACCACTCTATGTACTTTGCTTGGAATAAAGCGAATCATCTTGTTCTCTCATGAATCTTAAATTCTATTTCTAAGGACATAAGACAATCTCTGTTATTTTTCACTTCCGGCAAAGATGTCTGGGATGAAATTCGTACTATATACGCTATGAGCAATGGCCCTAGGGTTTTTTAACTAGAAAAATTGCTTAGTAACATAGATCAAAGCTCATTGTCAACTACTCAGTATTATAATGTTTTTAATTTTAAAGCATTACCCTCTGTTTAAATGTTCTTGTGGTGCTTTTGCACATTGTACCTGTGGTATGTTTGAGCCTTTGAGGCAATGGTAGTATCACAATAACAAGACTATTATGAAATTCATAGTTGGTTTTCATGATTCCCACTCCTCTCTAAGTAATTATTTCTTGTTGTCTACTCCTTTACTCTCATTATCTACTGTGTATTCTCTACTCCATCAAGAGGAAGGTCAAAGAACACTCACGAATACTCACAAAACAGTTGACTATTGCAATGCTGGCTAAATCTTTCAACAAACCACCATACTCAAACCAGAAGTCATCTTTTCCCAAACAACCTACCAACAAACCTCCATTTCCCAAAGACAGAACAAAACCAAAATATATTCACTGTGGCTAGAATAATCCTTCTGAGAGATGCTTTCAAGTGATTGGTTACCCTTCTAATTGGGAAGGCCCTAGGGGTCTTAGAATCCATCCGAGTCACTCTACTAATGTTGACGCTGTTGATAACACACACACATACTATCACCAATGCATCTCGTAACACTACTAATTACATGATTAATAGTTTGTTTCATGAGTTCATAGCTTTTAAAAAGTTTCAGGAAGAAAACCAACCTATTGGGGACAATGTAATACCACCCATGGTTGCCACTACTTATCCTGCGTATCTACTGGTAAGTCATCTATCCATTCTTGTAATGTTGCTAGAAACTTGTCTAGGACTACTTGGATTTTGGATAATGGGGCAACAAACTTGCGATTGACCGAACTGTTCATATACTCATCGCCCAATTGTTGCATAATTTATATCATAGTATTGTCGTACTTGCTCAATTATCTTCACCAATCTGTCATATAGTGCGTTTCATCTGCATGGGACCACACCTGTTTTTCTCCCGTTTCTTACATGGTATCAGAGTCGGTTCTATTGGGACCGTGTGATGACGTACCCATTCACCCAGCCCGTTTCTAGTAGGGCTCGAGTCCTTTAGCTATTGTTCTGGAGTAATGACCCGGTTTGGCCCGGGCACCCGACTCCGTATATGGGCTTTGGCTTCTTATGAAGAACTCACAAGTGAGATGGCGTATTAGAATATTCACTTGTGAGTTGTTCCGTGTTGTTTATATAGGGAAAATAAGTCTAATTTATAAATCTAGTGGCTACTTCTCCTTCCACCAATTAGTTTTGGGATGAAACCTCACTTGGGCTTCATCTGAGTTTTTCCTGTCTTGATGCGCTTCGATTGCGTGGGAGCGCCCGTTTTTCCACCCGGTTCTTACAGTGTTGGCACTTGTTGGGGTGAAAAAGTTGTCTTATCAATTAGGGTGTAGAAAACTTAATATATCTTTGGGAAGTGTTACGGTACCGTTACGGTACCATTCCGTCAAGTGCTACGGTCCCGTTACAGGACTATTCTGGTGACAGAATGGTACCGTAACGAAATCGTAGCACTTCCCGTAAAAATAAAACAACGAAACTTAAAATTGAAGTTTTGAGCTCAAAATCCCCATTGCATTATGGACAAGACCAATATATCTCATACATAATGCCTATTAATAATTGTCACCGTTGCCATTAATCATTGCAGCCATGTTCTCAAAGAGAAAAATGGAAGTTAATAATAAATTACTAATATTTGTTCTGATCACATTAATTGCGATCATAGGCTTACACCTCTTCCTCTTTCTTGCATTGCATGCATTAACCAAACTCGATCTACCGCAATTCCAGGCAGACTCTCCAATAATGCATGAGAATTAAAGTCAATTCACATGTACAGAATGTGGCTGGTGAGGAAAGTCATAACCACCGTGGCTTTTATTTAATTATATTTTTAGTCAAGCAATAATTAAGTGGTGAATAAACTTTTGGAAATTTCCACATTCAGAGGTCTTAGGGTCCGTTGCGGAACTATTCCGTCAGTGATTTGTAATCGCTTGGATCATTATATAACCATCAAGGATAGTTGGTCTAATATGGACTAGATCAAAATGGCTTGCCCTTCGGTGCGTGCCGAGTTAAAGCAAGATTTTCGTCAGTGAGTAGGCGTAGCTAATCACCGGAGTGCGGTTGTAGCTAGCTCGTAGCTAGTCCCCGAACCTACCTTCTTTAAAAACCCATAATTAAATTATAGTGCTTCTTCTATTAGTGAAGTTTCTAGAAAAAAAATATATCAAACGACGCAATGCACCTTGGGTCGCTACGAAAACAGTCTCCTTGTATAATTACAAGGGTAAGATCTGCGTACAACTGACCTCCTAGATTCCAACCAGCTGGGAATAAACTTGGTATGTTGTTGTTGTTGTTGTTGTTGTTGTATAGTTAGTCTAACGGTTACAAACTCTGACGGAATAATTCCGTAACGGAACCGTAGCATCTCCCTTTTATTTTTTCGAGAATAACATGTTGATATATCCTTATTGCTAAACAGAATTTTGACCATGTGGTTTGCCTCGAGTTTATTTTTACTGATTGAGCAAAATTGGAAATCAAATCACAAGTTTTATTTCATTTTCAATTTAAGCAAATTAATATAAATAATTTAAAACACGATTTTTATTTATTTATTTATTTATTTATTTCATAAGGAGACATGGATCTAAGTTTTAGTGATGGATAAATTAATAATGTGTCTGATAATATTTTATGATATGGTTTCTACTGCAAATAAAATACAATTCAAATATTCTACTAAATCAGATTGCAAATAGAAATTTGACAACCACATCTTAACGACACAATTAAATTCGAACTGAAGTAGCGGCGATGTATTCCATCTTTGTTACGTTCATGTCATCACATCACATATTAATAAAAATATAACTAGGGACAATCTTAAGAGTTTTAAATTAATAAATGAAAATCTTTCGATTCGAAATTAATATATTTTATCTTTCAAATCCTGAATTAACAGTTTAATCACTATTATTCGAGTCTTAAATTGATAAAAACTAATAGTTTTAAATTTATCGAGTCGTAAATCTATATTACCTCCTATTCTTTTTAAATGTCATTTTGACATTATCAACTATTAACAAAATAAATATCGTTTTGGATATTTTGTACATATTTTTACATTATTACCCTCATCTAGCTAATAAATACACTACGTCTTTTCATATCCACTCTTCATCTTTTCTCAAAACATTCATCTCTATCCTCATTAATGAGGGTTATTATTGGCAAAAAAAATATTCTTAATAACTGTGTAATTTCTCAAAACGACACTTATTATGAATAAGAGAGAGTATAATTTATATTTCACATTATGAATTATGATTTAATCCATTTTTTTCGAAACAATAGAAAATATTATAAATCAAAATACACAAAAGTGCGAATACACAACTCATAGCTGAATGAAATAGCCAACAACTGAAAAAGTGGAAGGACATGTCAGAAAACCGTCTAGAATCCTGACACTAGCAATGCTAGAATGACAATACTCGCAACAAGATAACAAGTTGACACTCAAGCGCACTAAAACCAAATGGCTCGAACAAAAAACACAAACCTTAACAACACAAACGCAAACGCGAACACAAACGCGAACACAAAGAGAACAAACTAATCCATTTTGGGTATATCCAAATTTGTAAGTGTATGCATGTGTAATGTGTTCCTTGCCTCCTTGGTTACAATTTACTTAAAAAATCACATATTAAAAGCTGGCAAGTTTTTAGACACTTTACTACAAGGGGTAGCAGCAGACTTAGCTCACTAGCAGCTCACGTGACAGTGGCAAAAGCGTCATTTAATCGAACCAAAACCCCCCACACTCACTCACTGGCAAAGCATCATCATTTTTACTTGGATGAGATGACTTGGGTCTCTTTCAGCTTGATCAGTGGTCTCGTGTTCGAGCCCTGAAAATGCAGCAGTGTTAAAAACTTTTGAGGGAGAGCTTTGCCGAGCTTGTGGTCCTACCCGACTCGATTTCGGATTAGTCGGTTCTCCTGTGGATCCGAAAACCAAAAGATCCATTTACCAAAAAAAAAAAAAAAAAGCATCATCATTTTATACGCGGTGAGGAACTGAACGCCATCACATTCACAATCTCAAAGCTCTCAACTGGCAAAATAAAATAATTCGCATTTCCCATTTTCTTTATATTTTTTTTTTCATCTTTTTCTTCTATATAATACATTAGACAAGGGAGGAAAAGAGAAAAAGCAAGATTCTTTCAAGAACCCTTTTGGAAAAAAGAGAGTATTTTTAATTTTAATTTTTTTTTTTTAAGTATATGAGCATAATGAGAGTTCACTCACTCGTTAGTGTTTTTGCTTTGCTACTTGTCGCGAGCGGCGTTAATGGCGACAACCCATATAGATTCTACACTTGGAGGATCACTTATGGCGATATTTATCCTCTGGGCGTCAAACAACAGGTGCTGCTGCTACTTATTTATTGCTTGCTTGCTTGCTTGCTTTAATAATGTGCATTAATTTGGGATTTTCTTGAATGTTGGTGTTTGATGTTGTGTAACAAATCGCTGTTGCAGGGGATTCTGATAAATGGGCAATTCCCGGGACCGACCATCGACTGCGTTACGAACGACAATTTGATTATCAGTGTTTACAACTACTTGAATGAGCCTTTTCTCCTCTCTTGGTAACCACATGAATCTTGTTCATTTGCCATTATTATCTTGAAGGAAAATGCTACAGTCCCGTGTACAGAACCATTCCGTCCATGATCTAACGGTTACAAATCCCGAGGGAATGGTTCCCAATTTCCCTATCTTGAATTCTTATTTGATATTAAAATATATATATTCTCTGGTATGCTTGCATTTTCTCCAAATCTTGGAGGATAGGACTTGCAATGTAGTACTAGATCTGTTTGCTTTGTTACTTTAGTGACACAAGTGATTGATAGGCCGGATTTTTTGAGATTTAGCTGTGTGTATTTGAGTTTATGTTAGGATATGATTTAAAATGTAATGTAAAGTAAGAGATTTGAAAGTGCTTGTGTAAGAAATTTAACGGGTATATTCATAACTATTAGGCGGAATTGAATAAACCCTAAGCATGTAATTCTATTAATTCATAGAACATGGATCTTTGCATGTATTAAATTGCACATAGAAACTTACAAGAATCCAGCTATAGTCCTTCCCTGTTCATCTTTGATGTTGATCTTTCTCCAATCTCCAATCCTCTTCCTCCAATCTCCAATGATGTATTTGTCTTTCCCTATGAATTGTTTATCTCTCTCGCGTCTCTCGTCTTTCCATAAAGCCCTTGATGTTGAGAACTTTATTTCGTATGAGATGGGAGAGAGGGGCATGTAGTAATATATATAGGAGGAGACCTACAATCCTATTCCTACTAACATTCCCCATGTTCTAACCTAACTTACTGTCCAAGTCAAACATCACACATTGGACTCTTTAATATTAGAACATTAAATAATCTATTAAATACATATTCATCTTTAATAAAGTTTGGCTATTAATTCAATTAGGTCCAACTAATTATATGGTCCACAATAATAGAATAATATATAAAATATTATTACAGCTTGTGCTTTACTTCAAACAAAAAGTTCTTATTGACCTTTTGTTTTTCTTCTCTTTTTTGAAGTAGACAAAAGCAAGTCCATTAGTTCTTGGCATGTGCTTAGATATATGGATCTCTGACACTCATTACATAGTTTTTCATAATTATCATGTATTTTAATCGAGACACCGAGTAAGTGGCATGTTTAGGTAGGGCCATGTTAAGTTTGTGTGCTACATTAATTATACAACCCCTTCCTGACTAATTATTAGCTGTAATGTAACACAAAATGAATGCAACCTGTGAAATCAATAAAATAGTGTCACTTAGTTGGGAGCTGTTTTTTTTCACTAACCCAATTGTTTGCATTTAACTAACTATACAAAGTTACTATCTTTTTTCTTGGTGAAAACTTTCACAACAGAAGGTTAGGCTATATATATATACTTTTATTAGATCAGTCATAACTCATAAGAATGGTTAGTTGTTCTCATTAGATTCCATATCTTGTTAGGACTTTTCTGTTTAAAGTTCTCTAGTCTTTTAACTAAAAGTTTCTATGAATTTTTTTTTTTTTTTTTTTTTTTTAATAGAGAAAAGCAAGTCAATTTGGCACGTGTTAGATCTATGGATCTTTGACATTAGGACATAAATATTTTTAATGATCATGTATTTTATGGGAAATGCTATGGTCCCATTATGGTACCATCCCGTCCGATGTTTTAACCGTTGGATCATGTATTATATACTAACTACATGTACATCCAACGGTTAAAACACCCGACGGGATGGTACTGTAACAAGACCGTAGCATTTCCCGTATTTTATAATCAAGACCATGAGACAAAGGTGTAAGTGCAAGCTTCTGTAGGGCCTTGGTGAGTTATTTGCTTTAGGACAAAATGAATGCAACCTATGAAATCACTAAAACACAGACTTGTATATGTATTCTTTTCTTAGCATGTAAAAATTGATGCCATTTAGTTGGGAGGTGTGTTCTGCTACACTAGCCCAATTATTAGTCTTTAACTAACTATTAGCAGTCATGATGTTTTGGCTTGGTTATTACTTTTGGGCACAATTGATTTTATATTTTGGTTCTCTCACAGGAATGGATTGCAGCAAAGAAGGAATTCATGGCAGGATGGTACATACGGCACCAACTGTCCAATCCCACCTAGGAAAAACTACACTTATGTACTTCAAGCAAAAGACCAAATCGGGACATACTTTTATTTCCCATCTCTTGCACTCCAGAAGGCTGCTGGTGGATATGGCAGCATCAAAATCTACAGCCGCACTCAGATTCCCGTGCCTTTCCCGCCTCCTGCTGGGGATCATGTCGTGCTTGCTGGAGACTGGTTCAAGAGGAGCCACAGGGTACTTTAGTCAATATCGAGTTCGACCTTAAACGTTAATATGAAATCAAGAATCGGGATTATATCACTGTTTATTTCTAACAAATTGTTTGCATTTTCTTTTCTTGTTCTTGCAGCAACTGAAGTATTTCTTGGATGGTGGGCATAATCTTCCGTTTCCTGATGGCCTCATCATCAACGGCCGTGGTTGGAATGGATACACATTCACAGTCGAACAAGGTGAGTCATTAGCAAACACGCGTATCCGCAGCTTTTGTTTTAAAAAAACCAAGTTTTCGTGATTCAGAATGTTAGCTTCTGCTTTTGGCTACACATAACTTCAGCATTGGAAGTGTTGTGAATTTCTGATTTTCGAGTATTAGTCAATTTTACAACAAATTACATAATTTCCTCCGAAATCGAGTCCACGTAATCCTTACATGACTTTTTCAGTCTTTTCTTTCCCATTTTTAACCACACTATTACAACAACAACATACCTAGTATATTCCCAACTGGTTGGGGTCTGGAGGGTCAGTTGTACGTAGACTTTACCCTTGTAATTATACAAGGAGGCTGTTTCCGTAGCGACCCAAGGTGCATTGCGTCGTTTGATTTTTTTTTTTTTTCTTTTCTAGAAACTTCACTAATAGAAGAAGCACTAGAATTTAATTGAGTCATTTTTTTTTACCACGCTATTAAAAATTCATTTTTTTTTGCAGGCAAAACATACAGGTTCAGAATATCAAATGTGGGGATTGCAACTTCCATTAACTTCAGAATCCAAGGACATGCCTTGAAACTTGTCGAGGTAGAAGGATCTCACACTGTCCAGAATACCTACACTTCCCTTGATGTCCATCTAGGCCAGTCTTACTCTGTCTTGGTCACATGCAACCAGCCGGCAAAAGACTATTACGTCGTGGTATCTTCACGCTTCACGTCCAGAGTCCTCACCACCACAGCTGTTCTTCATTACCGTAACTCGTTCACTAGAGTCTCTGGTCCCCTGCCCGGTGGGCCCACCACTCAGATCGATTGGTCTCTGGCCCAAGCTCGATCCATACGGTAATATATTCCCCTTGATGAAAAAAAGATCGTCTCAAAAGTCTTGAATTTGACAGAAGGCCTTATACTGCTCTTGTTTTGTACTTGCATCAGGCGGAACCTAACGGCGAGTGGGCCCAGACCAAACCCACAGGGCTCTTACCATTATGGGCTGATCAAGCCTGCTAGGACCATAATTCTAGCAAACTCGGCTCCGTACATTAATGGCAAGTTGAGATATGCTGTGAATGGCGTCTCGTTTGTGAACCCCGACACGCCCTTGAAATTGGCCGACTACTTCAACATCGGAGGGGTCTATACGCTCGGGAGTATCCCGGACAGGCCCACATGGGGAAATGGGTATCTTGGGACACCTGTCATGCATGCCGATTATCGATCTTTTGTGGAGATTGTGTTTCAGAATTGGGAGAACAGTGTCCAGTCGTGGCACATGGATGGATATTCTTTCTTTGTAGTCGGGTGAGTCTTTTTTGGCAAAGATTAATAATTAATCTTGCTAACCATTTTAGGCTTTCATTATTATTTACTAATACTTCATTTTGAAATATGATTTTAGTATGGACGGCGGGCAGTGGACTCAAGCTAGTAGGTCGCGCTACAATTTGAGGGACACGGTTGCCCGATGCACGGTTCAGGTATGTTACAAAAGAACCTTTTTCCACATTTGCTATTAATGATTAGTTACAATAATATACACTTGAATTTTTGTAGTCCATTTACGTAAATTTTGCTCACTTTTGATGTTCGGATGGTCGTATTTACAGGTGTACCCGAGATCTTGGACTGCAATATGGGTTGCTTTAGACAATGTGGGCATGTGGAACATAAGGTCCGAGGACTGGGCAAGGCAGTATTTGGGGCAGCAATTCTACATGAGAGTTTACACGCCGTCAAAATCATTTAGAGACGAGCTCCCGATCCCTAGAAATGCTCTCCTCTGTGGCCGAGCAAGAGGGCACAGAACAAGACCTCTCTGAACCGTCGAGTGAGTTGGAACTCGGTCACGAGAGGGTGACAGGGGGACTACATTGAAATGAACTCTAGGATAAATCGGGAGAAAATAGATATGAGGCAGCTTAACTTGAGCTGTAATCTGTATTTTGATTTATTGTCTTGAGAAAATTTTCAGCTTGTTTTGTTTTAGCAATTGTTTTCTTGTGTCACTGAGTGTTTCTTATGTATTGGATGAACTAAACTTCTGGAGTTGTTCTTCAGAATCTTGATGTATTCATTTTTTTCACTTGTGCAAAGCTTGCTAAGTTGCAAAGCTTGCTAAGTTGCTACGGTGGTTGATGTATTCATTTTATTCAGAATCTAGATGTATTTTTATTATCTTATTGGATAAATCTCCCCATATATAATTCTCGACAGTGTAGTGTTAAGCTTAAGTGGCAAGCTCGGGATTCTATTTGTTAAAATTGTATGTTTTGGATTGGTATATAATTGGGAACAAGTTGTCATGAGAAATGGTTATTTTCATATTAAATATTGTCCGCCATGGAAACAATTATTATATATTTCATTCTATATTATAATTATTATATATTTCATTCTATATTATTCTTACATAGTCAAAAATTCTATGGAGCTGATGATTTTCTTATGGAGTCATCTATCACTTAATACATTGACACCTGTTCAAATTGTATTTATTGTAGGACACGTGTCAATATATTATTGGTGAATAAGTGTGGATTGCTCCATAAACCGAGCCATCCGATGGCTCCATAGCAAAACTGCTTACATAGTTACCATACTACTTTCTTTTTCATTATATTTTTGTTCTATTACATATATTCATTAAATCAAGCATATTAATTTATTTCTCAATCATTCTCTAGAATATTCAGATTTTACTCATTTCGAAGATAAATTTATGTGATGTGATTTTTTTTGAAAAAAATGATATTTGTTTAATATCTAATTCGTACGTGTTGTCAATATAATAAAAATAAATAATTAATACCTTTTTTTACTTTTTTAAAATGATATTTTTAAAATAAAAACTTTAATACTTTTTATATATGTTTTTAATTCAATACTGGTGTAATCTGGAATTGTTCATACCTTGTTGAAATATTAAAGTATTCAATGTCAAGGCCTACATCATATCCTCCGACGATGGGTTATGATCTTACTCAATATCAAGGCCTTATTTACTTTTCAATATAATTATTAAATTAAAAATTAATCGTTAGTAATATTTATATAAAAATACTATTAATTTCTCATTTATTTAAAATTATTAATAGATTATTTATTATTATTTGATTACATCACATTTTGTTATTATTATTATTATTATTATTATTATTATTATTATTATTATTATTTTTATCACATGTTAAAATAATTATTAATTTTTTAATACATTTGTTTCATCACTGAAAAAATAATTAAATAATCATCAATTCTCTCAATAATAAAAAAATTTCACATGCCAAATATTGTCCATTTTAATTTTTTAACAGCACAACCATACATTTCAAACCCTAATTCAGCTCATACCCCAAGCCCGCTAGCACCTTTTTCTTCACTACCCATCGACACACAGCTCCACTCTTCCCCTGCGACGCCGCCAGCCACTCGAAACACAGACAAGGACGCTAATCCGGCGTAGAGCTCCCCAAAGATGGCGGACGTCGTGCAATTCAGGCTCGAGCACATGCTCGACGAGTTCGACGACTTAGAGCGGCGCGGCTTGTTCAGCAGCCGCGAGATAGCCGAGATAGTCAAACAGCGCCGCAAGTTCGAATTCCGACTCAAGCGGCCGAGCCCGCTCAAGAAGGATTACTTAGCGTACATCGACTACGAGAAGCAGCTCGACACCCTACGGCGCCTCCGCAAAAAATCCCTTATGCGGAAAACCGGCCCCGAGAAATCGGAAGAAACAATCTCCGATCATGCCGGCGTTGCCAGGATCATCAATATTTATCGGCTCGCCACCATCCGGTTTAAGGGAGACCTCAAGTTGTGGTTTCAGTACTTGGAATTTTGCAAAGAACGGCGTCACGGGAAGATGAGAAAGGTACCATCTTTTTGGAACAATTTCGTTCGTTATGCAGTGAAATTAACGATTAGTGGTGATTTCTTCACATTCTAGTTCTAGAAACCAACTGATTAGTTTTGAGTTGTGTGATGTTGTTTGTCACCTGTAGTTATGGCTAACATTTATATACTAGTTTGATTAGTTTTCTTTTACTATGTTGTGCATAAACCTCTAGTTTCAGAATGGTTGGAATTCTTACTTTCATGTGTTCTAATAATAATTCAGGTTCTAGCTGAATTTCTAAGATTTCATCCAAAACAGCCCGCTGCTTGGATTTATTCTGCTGCTTGGAATTTTGACACCAATCTAAATGTTATTGCTGCCCGCAAACTTATGTTGAAAGGTATGAGAGCGTGCCCAAATTCTGAGGACCTCTATATAGAATTTCTTCGGATGGAACTCACATTCCTTAACAAGTTAAGAGCTCGAAAGGTGCTCTTGGGAGAGCTTGTGGGAGACCAATCTCTTGTTCACAAGAGTGCTGATGAGGAGAAGTGGAAAAATGAGAACAAGGAATTGTTTATGGCTCTTAACGAGGGTGGGGACGGTAATGACGAGAGAGATAGTACCCAAGATGGGAAACCTAAAGGGAAAAAGGACGAATGGCAGTTTAGCTTGGAAATGGTTCAGACCACTTATAGTCATGCAATTGAAGCCTTACCCGCTGCTTTCAGTCTCAGAACACGGTTTCTTGATATAATAAAAGCAGTAGGGTTGGCTCATTTAGAAGATATGCAAACAAAGATACTTAGTGACATGAGAAGGGATTTCTCAAAGGAGCCTTCATATTGGGACTGGCTTGCAAGGTATGAAGCAGGAGATCTCGAACGAGCAGATCAAAATCGGTTGGGCAAAGCAGTCAGGGTAAGTTGAATGGAATGTGCTCCTGTCTTTGATTACATTTATATTAAAGGGATGACTATGTAAAAGTACCCTTAGGTCTGGATCTGATTAAATTGAAAAAGTAAATCTTTTTTCTCATAATTATGAATACTCCACTGAGGTGACACAAACAGCCGCTTGAGTTGTGTGGTTATAGTGCACTCAACACAGGGAAAGCAAATATCAAGCTAATTAATTACATAATCAGACTGTGTCCGTTGTCTGCACTCCTGCATTTACATTTGGTAATAACCTTCAGTATATAATTCTGCATGTAGGTTTATGAGGAAGCTCTGGAATTTGTACCATCAGCTACTATAATCGAGCTTTATGTAAAGTTTCTCATGGATGCCATCAATGATGAAAATAAGGATGGAGAAGCTGAAGTTCGTTTTGATTCTGACAGTCGAGCCTTTTGCATTGTTTCACATCTACAGACAGTATATGAGAAGGCCAATAATATGGGCTTCCTTACCGAGGATCTTGCTTGCCTTCATGTTTCATTCCTTTTGCGCATGGGAAAATCAAGCGAGGCCAAGATGGAGAGTGAAAAGCTTTGCTCTGGAAAATTTCCCAATTCAGTGAAGTTATGGACTTTACGGATCTCTATAGAGATGAAGGGCACTCAGGCTGAATCTCTACACCAAACCAAAAGTGACCTACAATACATCTTTGAGCTTCTCAGAACTGTTCTGATGGAAGTTCACGTTTTGGAAGCCGAAAACTTGTGGGTTATGGTATGAAGAAGTTTCCCACTACATGATTGCCTATTTGTGTGTGGATTGTGTCGTTTTTTTTCTTCTTTTTTTTTCATGTATGTTAAAATGCTCCTGAAAGTTCATTAAATAATGGTCATCAGTGGTATGCTTGGGGTTTTACAGTTTTGGGAGAACAAGCTGATGTTGATGGTACTCCATTTGTTTACCACTATGTTTTCTCTGCATAATTGCATAATGCTCTATTCCTCAACTCTGTTTTATGCCTAGAATGCAACAAATATGGGCATGATTTCTTCTTTGATTTTCTTTTTTCTTCTTTTTTTTTTTTTTAAATTGTGTAAGGGGGTTATATCTGAAAGCTTTTGTCATTTGTAATACCTTTTATGGACATTATCGTATCCTGGTGAAACTTGTGGAGATATGAACAACTGAGACTAATATATACTTTTTGTTTGTTTTCTTCTCTTTTCTGTTTTGTTTTAGGGGTTGACATACTTTGCAAATCAAAGACACTATTTTGAAAAGCTTGTGAAGACATCAATTCTAGTTTTAGCTAGAGATGGTGGGAGTGATACTGGGTTTTCACTCTCGTCGACAATTGTAAATAGTATTCTCCAGAAGGATGGAGTTGAAAGTGCAAGAAATATGTACAAGCGGCAAGTATCCGGTTGGCAACATTTAACTCAATTTTTAATTTATGGTTTTCTGATATACTGTCATTTTCCATCGAATGCAGGTTTCTGGCTTTACCTCATCCGGGACTTGCTATATTCAGAAATTGCATCGAGCTAGAGTCGAACCTTGCATCTGCTGGGGACAAGATTGGTCTTGCCAATGCTCGAAAACTGTATGAATCTGCACTTGCTACTTATGATCAAGATGCAAGTCTGTGGCGGGACTATCACTCCATGGAGGTCAAGGTAGATCTCTCTCTTAGATTATGAGTGTCAAGTCTATTTGATGGGCTCAAAGTTTTCCGATTTAAGAATATAGTTTTTACCACACAGTTGATATTCTTTCTTTCCAAAATAGATAAATAAATAAATAAAATGCTTGCTACGTATTTACTTTCCAGTTTTGTGTTTTCTATTCTATCAGTTGAATGATCAATTTCAGTACTTATGATCTTTATAATATATTATTATCGCAGCTGGGAAGCTCTGAAACTGCTGCGGCTGTCCATTGGCGTGCGACGAAGGTCCTCAAGAACACCAGCGTTCTTCTTCCTAGCGCAATCCTTTCATGAATTGTGTGGCGTGTTTCACAAGCTTTTTACTCTTTTTCCTTATTTATTCATTTCTTTTCTTTTATTTTTTTTT